TAAACCCTAAGCCCTAAGCCCCGAAGTAAACCCCGAAGTGCCCCGATCTCCTCCGGAACCCTCCGAGGGGGGCGCAGGAACTCGAGCTGCGCCGACGAGTTCCACGCTGCCCAGCCTGGCGCCCGTCACGAGATGAGTAGGGTTTAGGGTTTAGGACAAGTACAACACAATATAGTGCAGAACAATGACCTGGTAAGATGTAGTTGAAAAAAGAGCAGAGTGGAGTGAAGTGGAGTAGAGCAAAGCAAAGCAAGAGTGGGGATTAGAACATCGTCGTGTAGAGTTCGCATAAAGTTCAGTGGGCAAATATGCTATTTGTTAACTTTTTACTATGCATCGCAATCAATACATAGTATCGAGTATGTTGTATATAGACCGTATACAGTACTGAGCATATAGGATATAGTTGTTAATATTATATATCGTGAATTGTATATAGCAACAAGTTTAGACTGCATATAGTATAGATTGTAGATAGCAGATAGTGGATAGTATAGTCGGTCGATTGTAATTAATTTTATGTAGAGTATATACATTCTATAGTACATCGCTTAGTATATCAACAACTGCAGCATAGCATAGCAGTTCAGGGCTTGTGCGCTAATTTCCAGTGCCGCGTTCCTTCTCGTGGAAGAACAGCGCGGTTTGGATTCGAAGTTCAGGCTTCACAGCCCTCCGTCGCTTCTGCGGACCTCGGTGCCTGCGGCATCAACATTCCTAGAAATCAACGTCCGCCCGACGACCGGAAACCGTTCCATGCAAAAAATGAGGGGGGGGTGTCCCAAACAGAGATCCCCTTGCTTAGGATCTACATTAGGCTCCCTTGTCATCGACCAACATCAAGAGCCACGAAACTTCAGCAGTATTCTGGATCGCACTGTTTCTGAAACGCAGAACCAGCCAGCAGCTCTTCTCGCAAATGACCAGGCTTTGAACCAGCCGCCTCAGAGGCAGCGTCAGGCTAGCGCTGCCAAGGTTTTACGTTGCATAAACTTCCTCAGTGATCCCTGATGACATGCGATGTCAATGCTACATTCAGCAAAAGCGTTGCGTTGAGCATGTCACGGTTGCGGCCCTAGGTTCAGCGCAACCATTGATGACGGTTAGATTGAGTGGCACACCAAGGCGAAACTATCAGAGGTGCTGCTGCTACCACTACGACTCGCACAACCACTCCCCTCCTCCCGTTGCTTGCTGCTTTTCCTCCTCCTACGTACAGCTGCTGCTGCTTCTGCTGCGTTCTCAGACTCTGAAGCACTTAGCTTTCCCACGAAAGCACTCTTGTTCTGCAGGACCTGCTCGCACTCGCCAGTACCTTTGCGATCCTCCTAAGGATGCCGAAGAGTCGAAGCTCCAACCCCTACAGTACCCACACCCTTTACTCCTGTCTGGCTCAAAGCTCGTCTGCGCAGTTGAGCAAACCGGGGCGGATGCAGCTTCGTCAACCAGGACAGCCTCACACTTCACTCTGTCAGGGTGCAGCTGTGAATTTAGAATAATTCACCTCACTTACTCACTCCCCCAGTCACGTATCTCACTCAGTCAGCCAGCCAGCCTCACGCAGTCACTGACTCACTGGCTGAAAAGCTAAGTGACTCACTGACACACTGACTCACTCACTCTCTTACTGATACATACGTACATACATACATACATACATACACACATACATGCATACATGCATGATGCTGACGTCAGGACGTTAATGTATATATATATATATATGTATATGTATAATACATACAGTTACATACTGTGATAGTTTGCGGTGTCCTTCTAGCTGTGCTGGGTTCCTGGCTTGCGCGCACATTTCGGGATCACCAAACAGGCATCCACGTCGCTGCCTCTGCACGCAGGCACATGCAAGGTCCAGGACTCAGGCCAGAGGGTTCAGGGTTCGGGTTAAGAAGCAGTCCGAGAGGTAGCTTGCTCTGGTTTGGGGGAGAGGAAGTAGATGACTTTACGGCACAAGGAGCCGCCAGTATCAAACATGCCGGCTGGCTCCATTCATCCAGAAGCCATTTTCACCTGCACGCTACCAGGGCAAAAACTCGACAAGCCCAGGTCAAGAGCAAGGCGGTATTGAAGCAAGCGGTATTCGAAGGGCCACCACGCAGGCGACTGCTTCTGTTCCCTTCACGATTAAGCGTTAGTCTTGAAAGGAAAGAAGACCCGGCTGACATCAATTTCAAGCCATTTGTACTTTTCTTGGCTTGGGCATTGTCTTCACAAGAGCTGCGGTAACCGAGACCCTCGCAGGAACCGAAGGTGTGGAAGGTGCCACCACTGTGCGTCTCCAGCAGTGGCTTCAAGCTCGTCTCCTCACAAGACTTAGCATGGACGTGTTGAAGCATCATGAAGCCCAACGCAATACACCCAGAGACTCCAATATCCCTTAATTTTGGAATATACCTTTAATCATATTAAGGATCCTACTATAATTTAAGGCATATTCCTTAACTAGGGGATATTGGAGTCTCTGGGTAGATCGGAATTCCTGAGGTCGCAACCAGCCAAGCCTTCAACTTGTACTGTTCCTGCCATGGCTTTCGGGTTAGAGGAAATATTACATGCACCAGGCTACATGATGTTATACCTTGATATGTTAAACTGTACTATATCGTACTACATGGCTCTATACTACGTTATACTTGTACTGATACTTGTATTTATTAGATGGACAGACAGATAGATAAATAAATAGAACCATAGCGAGAAAGAGATCTATATTTGCATCTATATATATATATATATATGTATCTAACCAAATAGCATTATATACAGAGAGAGAGCATTGTCGTTTAGTTTTAACATGTATTGAAAAGACACCTTGACTCCGATCAATCTCCCCACCTCGGTGGGCTTCAACTCCTCGTCCTGTCCGGCAGACCATCAGTGAGACTTGAAACCTAAAGTGGGCCACCACTCCTCCTTTTCCGGCTGCTGTTGCTGTGGTGAGGGTGGTTGTGGTGGTGCTGCTGGTGGCGTTGGCGGCGGTCTGGTTTGGCTGGCTGCCATGTTTTTGTCGGTGTCGCGGTCGCTTTGTGCTGTTGCTTCTGACGCTGCTCATGTTATTAGTGTGGCTCTTGCTGCTGCTGCTGATGCTGCTAGTCGATGTCAGCAGCATCAACTTCATCGAAATCCATGGACGAGTCGGTACCACTGTCGGTATCATATGGCTGCCGCTACGAGCACTCTTTGCATGATTCTCCCAGACTCCTTCTCCAAGAGTTGCTCGGTCAACGAGGGGGCCAACTGGCTGCCTATGCCGAGAGCCGGCGTGGGCATGCCATTTGGACATTGGAAATACATCATTCCACCACCACCCCCAAGCGATGTGTTCACATGTATTCACCCATTTTGGCACGCCCAATAGACCTGAAGTTTCACCCACTGTCTCATTATTTCAGGGTGCATGGCTAGGTTGAGGCAATTCGCGGCGGTGGAGGCACGGTGCTTCTGCTCCTCTCTTATGCTTTGGGTGTCTAGTGCATGCGCTTTTGTTGCTTGTCTTGCATCAAGAATCCTTTGCTATCTCCTTCGTTTGTTCGTCACTGAACTGAAATCATCAACAATGCTGCTTTTTCGATCTAGGATGCTGCACTTCGGATCCCACCCCCCATTGCAGAGAGTTCAACGTGCTCAAGACTTCTCGTTCTTCATGTCTTCACTGGTTGTGAAAGCCTTAGCCCTAAAACCTAAACCCTCAATCAACCCCTAAACCCTAAACCCT